ACTGCTGGAAGATACTGGTTTTCTTGGCAGCAACCTGGCTTTAATACTCATGGATCCCAAGGTATAACTTTCAGAAACTGAGGGAGAGCTTCTTACAGATGCTTCAATGTATAGAAGGCTCATTGGTCGCCTCCTATACTTAACCATTTCGAGGCCAGATATCACATTTACAGTTCATAAGTTGAGTCAATTTGTTGCTCAACCAAGACAACCACACTTGAATGCAATTCACCAGCTTTTACAATATGTAAAGGCAACTCCAGGGCAGGGAATTGTGTTCTCAGCATCTTCTTCATTTCAGCTTCGTGCCTTTGCCGATGCAGATTGGGGTGCCTGCTTGGATACAAGAAAGTCCTTGACTGGTTTTTGTGCTTTCCATGGTAAGTCTATGGTTTCTTGGAAAGCAAAGAAGCAGAGTACTATCTCAAGATCATCGGCAGAGGCTGAATATTGTGCTCTAGTAGCCACAACAAATGAACTCGTTTGGATCCACCAGCTGCTACAAGATTTTCAAGTGGCAGTTCACTCTCCTACACTCATTTTTTGTGACAACCAAGCCACTATACACATTGCCAACAACCCAATTTTTCATGAACGAACGAAGCATATTGAGATAGATTGCCACTTTGTGCGTGACAAGATCAATGAGGGCTTTGTCAAACTCCTTCCGATCAGATCACAACATCAATTAGCTGACATATTTACTAAGTCCCTTCCTGCACCTTCATTGTTTCATCTTCTATCCAAGATGGCCATTGTTAATCTCCATTGTCCATCTTGAGGGGGAGTAACAAAATCTGGTTCTATCCTCATCCAGCTGGAGTGCTTAGCTGTCAAAGATCACGTGTGATTCATCTGTTGTAGGCTTGATATTTTAGATGGATAACTAATTTTCCCGCATTTTCCATATTTTCAGCTCGTATTTATATTTGGGAACTTTTCATTCTTCATTTGAGTTGAATAAGATTTTCTCTCAATACATTTCTTCTTGTAATAAATTTCTACTTAGCTAGAAGAATTGCTTGAATGGATTTTCATTGTAAATCAATTCCCGGTTGATCACTCTATATTGTGCATCTCACGGGAATAGAAATATCCCAAACGTATACTTTTAAGAACAACTAAACATGCTAGGCTACTGTTAATTCTTAAAAGAGTTTTTCCCAGAGTGTCATTTTAACACCAGCAACTCGGAAGGAGCTTGATCTTTTAAAAAATAAAAGAAAAAAGTGGTGTCTTACCCTAGCGTTAGTAAATTTAAAGAAATTATCTACTAGTCTAAAGTTGGCAAGCAGAAATAAGTATTAGACAATTATCAGAGCTCAATCTTCTGAGTTGGATTCTGAAATAAGAGAAG